TCCAAGACAATATCTTTTCAAGTTGTTCATCTTTTGTAACAATGATTGATTTAGCAATGTTTTTTGCTATTTCCTCCCGAGGAGGCTCGAGTTTTTGTCGCATTCTCCTTTCCAATACTCTCCGACTCAATAGGACATCGTTCTTCTTTAAACATTTTTTGCCAAAGCCGACTTTTTTAACTCGTAAAATATTCGATAATATCTTCTGCTTCATTCGCTTCGTTACATCCCTGATTCGTCCTTCTAAACTGTCGTTGGATTTGTCTGAAAGTTGTTGAAGAAATGTTTGTAAGTATATAATGTGTTGTTTATGGATAGATGTAATTTTTCCTTTCCGAGCAAGACAAATTAGATACTGATGGTGGTTCAGGATTGTGGTCTATGGTTTGTGAAAGCGAAAAAACAAATAACAGCATATATATGTTGGGGTTTTTAATATGCGGAAGTGTGGTGTTAAGAAAGAACATCAAGAATTGGTGTAGAGATTTTTACTAAGCGAAGAACAATGGAATTACTTAAGAACAAGAGAGGTTTTTAGTGCTGGAAATTTTTAGTTTTTAGTTGTTGTTATTGCTTTCTTGCTTACTTACAAATCTGATCTTGGGTACAATTTATAGGGTAGGAACGGATACAAAGAGACACTCCATTCCAAGTCTCAAGTTCTTAGGAAATGTAAAAGACTTAACAAATTACAAGAAACCTTCTTGACTTCTACAAGTCAAGTCTTCATCTTTGAATGATGTTCCAACTTCTTTATTGAAAATATGAATTACTAGTTTCAACACCCCCTCTTAATTCATAATTTTCAGCTTCTTCTTGAACTTTTCAAACTTCTCGATTGTCACGGCTTTGGTAAGAAAATCAGCAGCTTGATCATTGGTGTTAACAAATTTCATTGAGATTTCTTCTTCTTCAACAAGATCACGTATGAAGTGATGTCAAAGCTCGATATGATTGGACCTTGCATGAAAGACTAGATTTATAGTCATTGCAATTGTAGGCATGTTATCACAAAAGATAGTCGTAGCATGCACTTGCTTTTCTTGCAAATCCGAAAGAATTCTCCTAAGCCAAACGGCTTCACAAGCGGCATCCGCCGCGGCAATATACTCGGCTTCGCTTGAAGATAAAGCAACCGTCTTTTGCTTCTTAGAAATCCATGCAATCACCTTCGAACCAAGAGAGAAAACATAGCCCGAAGTGCTTTTTCGATCATCCAAACAACCTGCCCAATCACTATCCGTGAAACCGATCAAGGCATTATTTTCTTCTTTTTCGTACTTCAACCCTTGCTTCTTTGTTCCTTGAAGGTATCGAAGGATCCTCTTTGCCGCTGCAAAATGAAGCTTGCTTGGCTCACTCATATACCGCGAAACATAGTTAACAGAGTGCACTATGTTGGGTCTTGTGTTTGTGAGATAGATAAGCGAACCAACAAGACTTCGATATATTTTGAATCAATTTTTTCAGCGCCATCGTCTTGTCGCAACTTCTCATTCACCGCCAAAGGTGTTGCCACGGGTTTGCAATTTTCCATCTTGAACTTTTTTAACAAATCATCAACGTATTTTTCTTGAGAGATAAAAATCTCTCCCTCGGATTGTTTTACTTGAATTCCAAGAAAATATTTCATGAGTCCCAAATCGGACATCTCAAATTCTTGCATCATATTTTTCTTGAATTCCTCCACCATTTTCACGTTAGTACCAAGATAAATAAGATCATCAACGTAAAACAAATGATCAAAAAATCTTGAGTACCTTCCTTTTTTACATAGAGTGAGGGCTCACTTGGACTTTTTTGAAATCCATTCTTGCAAAAATAGCCATCGATTTTGCTATTCCAAGCTCGTGGTCTTGTTTTAATCCGTAGAGAGCTTTATTCAAACGATAGACTTTTTCCTCATTTTCGGCAACTTCAAAGCCTTGAGGTTGATGAACATAGACTTCTTCTTTAAGCTCTCCATTAAGGAATGCGGATTTGACATCCAATTGATAGACATTCAGCCCCAATTGAACTCCGATTGCAAGAACACACCGAATTGTCTCCATTCGTGCTACCGGTGCAAAAGTCTCATTGAAGTCTATCCCGGGCTGCTGCGAATAGCCTTTTGCAACTAATCTTGCCTTGTGTTTTTGGATAGAACCGTCTTCATTGAGTTTGGTTTTGAACACCCACTTTAAGCCGATTACATCTTTGCCTTGTGGCAAATCCACAAGCTCCCAAGTTTTATTTTTTTTAATTGTTTCAATTTCGGCTTCCATGGCTTTTCTCCAAACTTCTTCTTTTGATGCTTCTTCAAAATTCTGAGGTTCACAACCGAAGAAAGCAATATCACAGTGCTCATAAATATCTTTCAATGATCCTACCTTTCTTGGAGGAGATTCGGAATCTGAACTCGAAGAACTTGAGGAACTTCTTTGAGGTGTTCTTTGAGGTGTTCCTTGAGGACTTGTTAATGGAGTTTCATTTCCATTTTGCTGCTGCCCTTCCGGTGCAAAAAGTGACTCCAAGGAATCATTTGACACCAAGTTTGATGAAGAATTGTCCTCCTTATTCCATTTGGCCATTTCGTCAAAAATCACATCTCTTGACACGATGAGTTTTTTAGTTTCGGGGTTATAAAGACGATAACCCTTTGACTCATCGCTGTAGCCAACAAGAATTAATTTTTCACCTTTTTCATCGTATTTATCTCGGTTTGGAGTTGAGATATGAGAGTAGGCAATGCAGCCAAAAACTCTCAAGTGATCCACCGTTGGTTTCTTTTCATGCCAAGCTTCGTACGGTGTTTTATCTAGAACCGCCTTTGTCGGGGACCGGTTGAGTATGTAGATAGCCGTGTGAACAGCTTCAGCCCAAAATTGTTTTTGGAGGCTTTTTCCTTGAAGCATACTCCTTGTCATCTCGACAATGGTTCTATTCTTCCTTTCGACTACACCTTTTTGTTGTGGACTTCTACGAACGGTGAGTTGTCTTTGAATCCCATTTTTCTTGCAATACTCCATGAATGGTGTGTAGAGAAACTCACCACCACGATCCGTCCGTAACGACTTGATTTTTAATCCACTTTGATTTTCAACAAGAGCTTTGAATTGTAGAAAAATGGAAAAAGCTTCCGATTTTTCACTCAAAAAATATATCCACATCATTCTTGAAAAATCATCGACAAAAAGAATGAAGTACCTTTTGTTACCGAGAGATGGAGTCCTCGTAGGACCACAAATGTCCGAATGCACCAGCTCGAGTGGACATTTGGCTCTCCAAGAAGTTTTAGGAAAAGGTAGCCTATGCATTTTGCCGAAAATGCACCCTTCACAGACTTGCTCATTTCCTTCAATTGATGGAAGGCCAACAACCATACTTGTTTGCTTCAATAGTTGCAGCCCCTTGTTGTGCAAATGACCATATCTCAAATGCCACAAATGATATTTATCAACACTTTCTGCTTTGAAGGCCATTTCCCTTTCCAACGACATAACAAAGGGAAAAACCTTGTTTGATGTCATTTGGATTGTCATCACATAAGTTTTGGTTTTCTTATCAAATATGCTGCACTCGTTATCGTCAAAAAGTAACCGATAACCTTTTTGCATGAGTTGGCCGACGCTCAATAAATTTTGAGTGATGTTCGGAACGAAAAGAACATCTTTAATGGGCTTTTGATTGTCTCCCTTTTTGTTAACACCAATTGCGCCTTTTCCTTTTGCTTCCAGAATGCTTCCGTCTCCAAGTTTTATTTTAGAATAGTGATTAGTATCTATCTCCACAAAGATACTACGATCACCACACATGTGGTTGCTACATGCGCTATCGACATACCACACGTTCTCGAACTCTTTTTGCCCATTTATGCAAGAAAAGAGTTGGTCTTCTACATGCTTGGAGAAGTTTGCTTCGTCTTTGTCGTCTTTATTTTTTCTTGGACATTTAGAATACGAGTGGTCCGTATCCTTACAGCTCTTGCATATAAAGAAACAATTTTTTGTTTCATGGTTCGATTTTTTACAAATACGACAACCCGGAAAAGAATTTTCAGATTGTTGTTCTTTTCCTCCTTTAAAGAATTTTCCTTGTCTTTTTCCTTTGTTGTTGAAGCCGCCTCTTCCACCTTGCCATTTTGGACTTTTCTTGTCCGAAATATGAAGTTTCGACTGAAAAGCTTGATCCACGGGCTGATTTGATGACCTATTCAACCTTTCCTCATGAACTTGAAGAGAACTCATCAATTCATTAAAGGTATAGGTGGAAAGATTTTTAGATTCTTCTATGGCCGCAACAACATGATCGAACTTCGTCGGAAGACTTCTTAGAATTTTTTGAACAATTTTACGTTCTTCAATAACGTCACCAAGGCTTCGAATTTGGTTGACGATTTCAGCAACTTTGGAAAGAAATGATTGCATTCCATCGCCTTCTTTCATTGCCATGTTATCGAAATCTCTCCAAAGAGATTGGAGTTTTAAAGAAGTGACTTTCTCATCTCCTTTAAAACTTTGTTGTAGAATATCCCAAGCTTCTTTTGCCTTTTTTGCTCCAAATATTCTTGGAAATATGGTTTTACTCACGCCTTGTTGAAGATATCTCAAGGCACTTGCGTGTCTCCGAGTATTCCTCTTGTAAAGTTTTTGTTCTGCTTCACTCCACGATTCACTCGTAGCTTCTTTTGGTGGCTCGGCGTACGTATTCTCCACGATATCCCAAAGATCCAAAGAGATATACAAAGTTTGCATTTGACTACTCCAATAGTCGTAGTGTTCTCCGTCGAAGATGGGTACTTGGTTGGGGGTAAGTGCAAACATGGTGAAAATATATATCGGTAATTGAAAGAGGTTTGGATTGTCGAATAAGGGTGGAGAGACCAGCCAAGAAAGATGGCTCTGATACCAAATTTGTTGGGGTTTTTAAAATGCGGAAGTGTGGTGTTAAGAAAGAACACCAAGAATTGGTGTAGAGATTTTTACTAAGTGAAGAACAATGGAATTACTTAAGAACAAGAGAGGTTTTTAGTGCTGGAAATTTTTAGTTTTTAGTTGTTGTTATTGCTTTCTTGCTTACTTACAAATCTGATCTTGGGTACAATTTATAGGGTAGGAATGGATACAAAGAGACACTCCATTCCAAGTCTCAAGTTCTTAGGAAATGTAAAAGACTTAACAAATTACAAGAAACCTTCTTGACTTCTACAAGTTAAGTCTTCATCTTTGAATGATGTTCCAACTTCTTTATTGAAAATATGAATTACTATTTTTAAAAAAATATATATAAGCCATCTCTATGAAGATTCAAACTCAACCCACAGGGCTAGCTTAGAGAGTGAAACAAGAGAGAGAGAACAAAAAGAAAAAAAATGTTGTAGCGAAAATATTAAATTTTTATTCATATGGTAAATTAAAAAATGAAAATTACATGGCATTTCAACCAAGAAAGATGAAATATATATAAAAAACGAAACCTACAAACCAACCAACCAATATTTAAGGTTGTTATCCCAAACCAATACATAATTATAACTTCTACTCTCTCTCTCTTTTTTTTTTTTCTCTTTTTTCTTTTAAACCCCTTCAATTTATTTGGTGTAATTCTAACACCACTCTACCTTTTTTCAGCAGCCAAAAAAAATTTATTCCATCTCAGCTTCGTAAAAGAAAAAGAAAAACACTCAAATCAACACGAAAAAATGGATCAGCTGCTGTAGGGTGCTGGGAATGGCAAGTTCTTGACCTTTCCACAGAGAAGCTGAGTTTCAGGCATGTTGTATTCATCTCGAAGAGATCGTGCCGGTGAAAGCACGCTTACGTAAAGTTGCTGCCCCAAATAATTCCTTTCCAATAGTAGTGACCTCATATTCCACATTCCTGCATTGTCCAATGTTGTCATAATAGCAGCCCACCCTTTAGGGTACACCTGGATTGTATGTCTGCTCACTGCATCCACAAGATTGTAGTTCTTCCTCTTCTCCGGGCTCCACGTTCCGGGCTCGATCCTGTTTTTTTTTTTTTTTGAAGCAACAACGTTAGACAATGTGTTAACGTTAACGTGTGCATGCGTGTGTATATATCGATATGTATAGTACTTACGCGACTGCGAAGAAAGAGTAGCCGGACAAATGCCAAGATTGAACGCTCTTCTCGTGGTTCTCGAATATGATCTCCACGAAGTTCCTGAAGATGCCGGTGATCACGTTTGGCGCGATGGTGACCTTGGTGCCTACGTCGGCCGGAGGATCGTCCGTGATGATGTCGTACTTGAACACTTGGTCCTGAATGCCGTAGTACTCTGCGAGCTTCAACGGTGTGTCGGTGTTCATGTGGGAGAGCCCGTTGATCGCGTACCTGAGCTTCCTGTCGACAGTTCCTGCGGTGTTCACGAACTTGATCGTGCGGGTGATGTTGATTTTCCCGTAGTGGTACGAGCCCTGCGGGTTGGGCCTGGCCGCACTGGCAGTCAGGTTCCACCTGAAGGACCGGAACTGGTTCAGCGACCAGGCCCAGCCCGTCGGTGCCTCCGGGAGCACGGGCGATGCTGGCTCGTTGCTCCCGGTGTAGCGGATCGTGGCCGTGGTCATCAGGACCGTTTTCGTGAACCGTGTTGACGACACGAGGTAGTAGTCTTTAGGTTTCTGGTCGGCGGTGACCAGGACGGAGTAGCACTGCCCCATGTGGACGTCGAGCGAGTCGTAGACGTTCTGCACGGTATGAGACCCTTCGATCTCGACAAGCTTCATCGTATGGCCTTGGATCCTGACGTTGAGGGAGTTCTTCATCCCGACGTTGCAGAATCTGTATCTGTAGGTCTTGCCGGGGATCATGGTGAACATGGGGGGGTCGGAACCATCGCCTTTACCTTGTTTGCCGTTGATGATGACGCCGTCTGTGCGGCCGATGGTCTTGCCGTTGTCCATGTGGCGCTTCAACTCGGTGTGGCTCTTCCTGTACCAGTCACCCGTAAGGACGATGTACTCCTCCTCCGGCCAGTCGAAGGGGACGGGGATGAGTTCGCGGCTGTGGACGGTGAGGGGGCCGTAGCCCCCCGCGGCGCGGTGGAGGGAGGTAGTGGGGTAGTAGAAGTAGCTGCCGATCTGGTCCTTGACCTGGAACTTATACGTGAAGTTGGTTCCGGGCTGGATCGGGCAGTTGGTGCCCAACACGCCCTCTTGCCAGGAGTTTTTCCTCTGCTGGATGCCGTTCCATGTGAAGAGCAACGGCTCGTCGAGGTTGTTGAAGACGTTGATGATGACGTTGTTGTTGGACGTGCCGTTGATGCGGGGCCCGGGGAATTGGCCGTTGATGGTGATGACTTGTTGGGGGACGCCTAGCGGTGAGAGGGTGGAGTAGCTAACATCCCATGTGTAGAACAAGTATGGATCCTCGGATTGCACTAGGACAACTAGTGTTGAAATTAGTGCAAGGAGCAAGAGATTTGGTTTTCCCATGTTTTATTAAAAAGAAACAATGTTTGTTTGTTTGTTTGTTTTGATGGAAAGAAAGGTGTGATTTAGAATGTGGGAATGAGTAAACATTTTTATATGTGGGGAAGAAGAATAAGGGCCTCTACAATTTTGAAGCATTGGCCGTAAACAACGTTGGAATCTGTGGTGAATGTTTTTTCCTTTTTTTTTTTTTTGTTTTTGTCTTCCTTCACTTTCTCCCATCACTTGTCTTAATTTAGTTATCAAACTTCTTTGCCATGCACTCAGTCTCTCTCTCTCTCTCACACACACACACATAACATTTGGACACTGGTAGGACACGGGAAATTATATGCTGCACCCGGTTATTATTAACCGTAGTTCTGCACATAATCACACATACATAACAATCAACGAGGACAAATAACCCAGCGTAGCATAGAACCTCCCGATAGGACACGGACACATGAAGAAACGACACCTGTAAAAACTGCTGTAAACGGTTTACTGAATCGAATTTAAATATTTCAAATCATATTAAACACACGTGTTTTTATTATTTGTATATGTATAGAAACATGGAAATTAAATCGTTGAATACAATTTACACACAACACAATACAAATTCGTCCTATTTTGATATGGAATTGGAATGGGAATATTCGCTTTTCGATTTATTAGTTCATGTTTTTCAAATATTTAAGAATTTGCACCAAGATCAAAATTTACACTGCCCCGAAAACGTATATAAATAATTTAAAATAAATAAATAAATGAGATCTGGACAGATGTTGGAATAAATTAACTGAACCGAAAAATAGGAAAGCTCACTTAGAACAAGCGACCTCAATAACCGAAACGTCTTGTTCTTCGATAAGGTCATCAGACATGGCAGAAGGTATTCTGTGGCGTTTTAGTATACGAGATGTGGCAGTTTTTGCCGAATCGTAGTTCAGAACAATTACTCTTTCATCGTCCAAATCGAATCTAACATTCTCGTTTCCACCGTCTTCCACAAGTTGTCTCAAATGTTTCAAGTTGTCCACTTCTACTCCGTTCACCTTCTTCACCTGCAAAAGTTGCCCAATAATTTTCAAGAAAAAATTTCAACCATGAAAATCATCGATTGGGGGGTGGGGGGGAGGGGGTGGTTGGACTATACCTGTAAATCAGCAAGGCGTTCATAACCCGTGTTTATATCATCCATCAGTACCTGTATCAAAATTTAGAATTTTAATTTATTTATATACAAAAACTTGACTTATAAGGGTGCGAAGATGAAACTCGAAAAATAGCTGGAAAGTTAGAAGTACCTGAGAGAGAATAACAAATTGTTGACCAGGTTTCTGGGGCAGTTCTCTTAGCGCTCGTTCACATAATCGACGGGGAGAAGCATTATACCAATCTTCTCCGTATTCGTGAAGATATGGTTGTGTCAATGGAACAAACACGAGTCCAGCGAAAATCAAATAACTTGGAAGCTTATCAAATTGATGAACTGGAACAAGAGGATGTAACTGCATTTGAAAGAAATCATGCAAAATCAGCTCAGATTATAGGTTAACAAATACGAGTATACAATTATAGAGAAGATTAACAACGGATTATTGAGTAATTAGTCATTATCGACTCTAGCAAATGGCCAACATTAGTTGAATACGGTTAATACAGCGCATAGGTTGTCCGCTCAGATTTAAGAGTAAAATCGGTTGTTGTATACTAACAGTGCAATAAATGTAGATGAAACTCTACTTACTGGACGAAGGGTGACGGTGAATTCATGCTCTTCACCACTTCTCAATACTTTAACTTGGGCAGTATCATTTGGTTTCTTCATAGAGACCAAATGATCAAATGTTATTCGCTCTCTGTTCCGGAAAGCAACTGTAATCACATACGAGGCACTATATTAAGAATACGATTATGGATTCTAAACATTGTTAGTTCAGTTACTCAAGAACAAGTTACCAAGGGGTAAAAGATCAGAGAGGAAGAAGGATAAGTTGAAACAGACCTGATCCATCATTTGCTATGGGAACACCATCAAACGAAAGGATAATATCGTCTTTTTTTAGAACTCTGTGTGCATCAGAGGTTGGGTTGATTCTACTCACGAGTACTCCTGTTAAATCAGGACGCATTTTAAAATGTTCCCGAAGTTGTGCATTTTCGGTAGGTTGGCAGGACAAACCCATGGAGCAGAATCCAACATAGTCTCCAGTTTCTTCGACACCCGAAATGAAATGCTTTATCACAGGCACAGGAATAATGTAACTGTAAGAAATGGAACGGAATTATATATCATAAACTAGGTTTGGTCGAACGAACATCATATTTTTGTAAGTTCTAAACACTTTCAATGACTCAGCCTGGAAACACGAAGCTTCAACCTTAAATAAAATACAAAATTGAAAGTTTTAAAAAATTAAATATTTGAGTTATACGCCGCCAGTCAAGGCCAAATCGGAGGAACAATATTTAGTCGATTAATCAACAACAATCACTAGTTTATGTTCCTTTACAACTTTATACATATTACACGATGGCTGAGAACTAGATTGCTTGCTTACATCATAAGAAGCAACTGTATTTGCAACAGAGATTTTTACAGGTCAAAGACACAGGCTTAGTTCTCACGTGTATTTTGGCATCCTTAAAGGACGAACCACTCATTTAATATAAGAAATTATAAATTTTGCATGCTCAAAAACAATGATGCCGAAGAAGTAATCCTATGTGGCACAAACCCAGAGCCATTTTCCAAATTTTATGACAATAAGTACATGAATAAAAATGCAGGAACAGTAAATAACACGTAAAAATGCAGTTCTGCAATGTGAAGATCATTTGAGAAGCATATGTTCATACTTGAGCAAAACGAAATTATGAAAAGGCATCTAAGCAGATACTTACCCTATGTTCTCTGCATTTGAAAGGTTTTGAAATGCCACTCCAGCAACTTTGTCACCCATTATCGCTGGGCCTCCACTATTTCCTGGATTAATAGCCGCATCGATCTGTATTGCCAATAGCTGTGTCGCACCATGCACATATTGTGTTGGTTCAACCCTCGAGACAACCCCTTTCGTAACGGAAATGTTGTCTCCACCTACATACATACATTCATTAGGAAAGTTTTTAAAACGAAATGAGCAGGAACACATTAGAACGAACAGCAACGAATGAAATAAAATTAAGAACCGGAAACATAAGATTATGCAATATTACTACCTTGAGGATAACCAACAACCGCAACAGCTTCTTGGAGAAAGGGAATATCACCAAGCTCCAAAGAGTTCATTCCTTCCCAGAACTCTTCATTCTCAACCACCAAGATAGCCAAATCGCATTCATGACCAACAGCTTTGACTTCTGCTCGATATTTGGTGGGAGAGCCGTGCTTTCTAACAAGGACAAAAGTATGATCGGCCACAACATGGGCATTCGTCAGGATTCTCTTCCCCGAAATAACAAATCCTGCAGTGAATTTACAAAATGCCACAGGTCATTGAGCATCATATTATATCACCTTTATGGTCTGTTTATAGGGGGGAAAAGTATAAGTAGTCCCAAAAAAAAGCCACAAACTTCATTGTTGAATGAATAATCGAGTTCTCTGTCTTACACATGTATGAGTAACATATACAAAATTCAAGTTTGGAAATTCGACTTGGTCATAGTTTACATCTAAAAGCTCAACTACAAGTCTCTTCAAAGACTGTACCTTTATAATTGACAACAACCACCTTCTAGCACATGAATTAAACATTTAAACTCGATTGAAAAACAGAAAAATCTTTTCCATTTATGTTTACATTTTGTCCACTAAAACCATAACAAATCGGCAAGCGAAAAGAAACGGAAACGAGTAAGCATTCGTGAAAAATACATACCGGAGCCCATGGATTCGCGCTGAGACTTATTCTGCCAAGGAAGGAAGTAACTCGGACTACTCGCCACCGTAAATATCTTCACCACCGAATCCAACGCCAATTCAATTGCATAATACGCCTCATCCATCGCGCCATTCCGCACTGCAACAGAATCCGCCACCGCCTCGGAATCAGCTCCACCATTCTCGACGCCACTACTGAATTTCAGAGCAGCATCATCGCCGGGAGTTGAAGCACTGGATTCCGAGCAGGTCGAGTACAATTTAATTGAAGACAGGCGAATATTCCAGCCATTATTTCTCGGACCAAGGTAGGGGTTAGCATTGGAAGCTAATGGCGGATTAATGTTAATATTGAAGCGATAACGATGAGAAACAATCGTTCTGGTGCTGCTGATGCAGCCGCGGTGGTTAGCAGAGGATCTCAGAGTCCGAACCGCCACACGTACGGCGGCGGGTGATCGGATTCCGAGCATCATTTTCTCTGGAGCAGATATGGGAGGCCGTAAAACCTCCGGTTCAGGGTTTTAGAATTTAGAGTTTGTGTATTTGTTTTTGTTCTTCCCCCAATTTAGCCATTTTCTCATTTTTTTCATAATTATAATAATAAATAAATAATTTTTTTTTTCTAATTTATAATGATAATTAGCAATGAAGAATTTAAAACCTCATTTGTGTAAATCGAGAAATGGTCCAAATTTTTTCTTCTAAAAAAAAATATATAGGGTAAATTACAGACACCTTGAGTTAATCTTCAATTACGAAACAACTTCTTATGTTTGGGTAATTACTATAATCTATCAGTTATGAACTTTCTTACATGTTTATTATCGCGGTAGATAATGTGAAATATTCTCCTGTATATATCTGTTTTACCAGATTCGAGCTCCATATTTTGAAATAAAATGATCATAAGATGTGTGTTTGGCTTGTAAATACCAAATTGCGGTGTATCAGAAACACCATTTTTGCACAAAACGTGTAAAAACTAGAGAACATTTGAAACAAAATGTAAAAGATTCTGTTGAATTTGATATCATAAGAGTGGACGTGTAAAAATTTTCATAGTCGAGAGATTATTGAAAATTAACCAAACATGAGGGAGTTTTGCGTAGTACGACCTTACTACAAGGGGTCGCCCATAATAATCCAAATATATATATATATATATATTATATATATAATATATATATTACATAAAATTGAGTAGGCCCAGGATATTGGGCTAGATCAATAACCCAATGGACTTTATACATCGATTGGGCTGCACTGCTAGCAAGACAATTATTGGGCTTCATTAGTTGTCATGAGTCAAAACACGCTTTTTCTTTTAATTGATTTAAAGAAAATGATCATTTATTTCTTACTGCATTAAGGATGTTTCCTACGAAAGTTGAACAGTTCCGAAAAAAGTCATATTTCCTCAAATCAATTAAGGGTGCATTTGGATGGAGGGATTTGGGGGAGG